CAGGCCACGGATGAGTGCAGAAGCAAGAAGGAGCGCGGAAAAAAAAAATCATACCATTTGGGCTTCGGGCTCCAAAATAGGCTTGCGGGTATCGTCCTCATACAAACTCACAGGGCATGACGGATGCTCTTTCGCAAAAACCGCACCTGTAGGTATTGTACTTTTCCTGCAACAGGACCGCGCACCTAAAATTACAAAGAGGCCCGACGGGAAAACAACAACTTCGACCCAACAAATGTTCACAACTCGACAATGTTAAGACGCGGGTCGGCCGATGTCGGTCAAGGCAAAAGCTGGCTCTGTGTGTGTGTGTGTCTGCTCTGTTTTTTCTTTTGTTCGACTCTTGCATCGGATGTTTATTTCCCAGAGACATGTAAGCTGGCTTGCAGTTCTTGTGCATGTATCGCTTCTTGGCGTTGTCATGTTGTCCGTTATGAATCCTAATTTGCATAATGTTTTTAGGATGTGACCTGCATTGGCATGAAAGCGCAGGAAAAAGCGAGGGATCTGCGGCCTTGTCACAGCATTGCTTGCATGTATTGGCTGCGGTCAGGAAAGGGGCAAGTAGAGTTCCAGCGTTCCACCCCCTTAAGTCAAGTCAGCACAAATAGTGCTCAACTATTATTCCAGAACCCGCTCGCAAGTCAGGGTTGTGGCATGTGGCGTCGGTCCATGAAGCGTCGCAGGAGTTAACCATGACCGTGTACGTGGACAAGCCGCAGCAGCGATACGGTCCGGGCATAAGACACTGGATGTTTCCGGCCAGTGCCGTCCTACTCGTGTAGATTTGGGGTTGTGATGGGCCAAGGTGTTCGACAAGATCATTCCAAGGCAAGACAGATATATGATATAGCGGTCAGTTTTATCAAAGACCGTTTATTTGGGGGCGTGCATATGAAATTTCACCTGCTTGTTGACATGCTTAGATTTGACCCGTCGAAGGTTGTCCACTTCGATGAGTTGCTGAGCCGTCAAGCGCCGCCCCCACCTCCGGCGAGCTGGGAAAGGTGCGGCGCAGAATTGCGGGCTGGCCCATATGTTGCATGACTGACCGTCTAGGTCCTGGCACTTTCGCATTCACACATGCTCAGTCGTTTCTTGCCGACATCATGCTCAATCGTTTTTTGCAAACATCACAGAATATCACAGAGGAAACAAAACAAAGAACCAGGACATCTGGCGACTTGGTTGGCGATGTGCTGGCTGCCGAAGCTTGCGAGGCTCTTGCACATCTGCGTGCGTGGGAGATGTCGACATGTGCTGTGGGTGGTAGACACCTCGAGGTATTCGATCAATGTAGCGGTGAATACATTTTTGCTGTGGGAAAACACGTTCTAAGGAACACTTCTCAAGGATTCTCAAACCAAAGCAGCAGTGAACACATTGATCAGAACCGGTGCTCCGTGTTGAAGCTTACTCAATGATATGCAGTCGTTGTAGTGATGAGCTTCCAGGCCTTGTGCTCGGGGCTGCTTGGCCGCAGGGCCTGGTACACACATCATAAGAAAGGAGCGACAAGGGGAAAGAAAACACAAGCCGCCCGTTTACAGGCGGTGAGCATCCATAGCAAATGCTCAAAAAGTCCCGAACCGGGAAGAAGGAGGGTCCGGTCGTCGCGAGTGGTGCTCGCGCTCGACCCCCCCCCCCCCCCCCCC